GTGCTCAATGTCTGTTCTCTCATAATCATAAAGCCTGCTTGCCTTGCATGTACAAATTTGGAGATCTAAATGTGCAATTTCCAAGTTCAATAGTCTATGTGATAACTCATGCAAACTTTGTGGACCTATAGTAGACTGTACTCCATTGATTATCTTGTGCTATATTGGCAGTCTAGCACTTATATACCTACTACTATTGATATCACAATTACGTCAGCCTGTAGACCTTTGTCCTAGGAAATAAATAATAGTCATTATTTACTGAAGCATATTCCAAGGCCCCAAGGGATGTTTGCTACAACATAAATAGTAAATTGAATTTGTGAAAACATGGTCTACAATGTTCTGCCGTACAACTGTGCATCCTGACCATGAACATTGAATTTCTTAAAGTTGTTTGCTGTCTTTTGCTGGCATTCTACATCATTATGAGCCTCAAAACACACATGATAATTAAGGGAATGCCGATGAAAACTTCTGAGAAAACAGGACCCTACCACCAAGGGGTCCTTATGATACTACATGGCATTCCTGGGCTATATAGATTCTTGCATGCTAATTAAGTTTGGAAATGGCATTTTGTAATTAATGGCAACAAAATATATCCTGTATGCAAGTGCTGCTCTTTTCTTGAACCATTTCTCCTTTTTTAGCTGTCCATGATGTAGCTTTTTGCGCAGTAGTTTACTGTTGAACTTACTATCCTTGATGTTCTTATACACTGCTGTTTGTCCCTCTTTCAGCCGGTTTCTGCAATGCAGAGGCCCATTTGCTCAGAGAAGGCACCCCTTGGTTGATGATGCAGTAGTTTCTGGGATTCAGAGATGCGTAGACAACGGTACTCAGTTCCGTGGTGATTTGTTGAATTTCAGAAAAGACGGATTTCCATTGATGAATAGGCTGCATCTGACTCCTATATATGGAGATGATGATATCATCACCCATTATATGGGCATTCAGTTCTTCACCAATGCTAATGTTGATTTGGGACCAGTACCTGGCTCAGTTACAAGGGAACCTGTGAGATCTACACGGTTTGCTCCGGATAACTTTTTCCGGCCCATAACCACCGGACTAGAGCAGGACAACTTCTGCCGGGAGTATTCCAGTCTCTTCCAGCTAACTGATGAAGTACTTTGCCAGAGTATTTTGTCAAGGTTGTCTCCAAGAGATGTCGCATCTGTGAGCTCTGTATGTCGACGGTTGTATGACTTAACAAAAAATGAAGATCTTTGGAGAATGGTTTGCCGTAATGCATGGGGTAGTGAGACTACTCGAGCTCTTGAGACTGTGCCTGCTGCGAAAAGATTGGGCTGGGGTCGGCTGGCCAGAGAACTAACCACCCTGGAAGCTGTTGCATGGAGGAAATTGACAGTTGGAGGTGCAGTGGAGCCATCTCGATGCAACTTCAGTGCTTGTGCTGTAGGGAATCGTGTCGTTCTCTTTGGCGGGGAAGGTGTTAACATGCAACCGATGAATGACACGTTTGTGTTGGATTTGAATGCTAGCAATCCGGAGTGGAGACATGTCAATGTAAGCTCAGCTCCTCCGGGCCGCTGGGGCCATACACTATCTTGCCTAAATGGATCTTGGTTAGTTGTGTTCGGGGGTTGTGGAAGGCAGGGCCTTCTTAATGATGTATTCATGTTGGATTTGGATGCGAAACACCCAACTTGGCGGGAGATCCCTGGTGTTGCACCGCCGGTTCCGCGTTCATGGCACAGCTCCTGCACTTTGGATGGGAATAAGTTGGTGGTTTCTGGTGGCTGTGCAGACTCGGGTGTACTACTCAGTGATACGTTTCTTCTTGATGTGAGCATGGACAGACCTGTATGGAGGGAAGTACCTGCATCTTGGACACCACCTTCTAGATTGGGCCACTCAATGTCTGTGTATGATGGTAGGAAAATTCTGATGTTCGGCGGTCTTGCTAAGAGTGGTCCTCTCCGACTACGATCCAGTGATGTGTTCACAATGGACTTAAGCGAAGAAGAGCCCTGCTGGCGGTGCCTCACTGGGAGTGGAATGCCTGGGGCGGGAAATCCGGCTGGAGCTGGTCCACCTCCTCGTCTTGATCACGTTGCTGTGAGTTTGCCAGGGGGAAGAGTGTTAATATTTGGTGGATCAGTGGCAGGCCTCCACTCGGCGTCACAGCTGTATCTCTTGGATCCGACTGAAGAGAAACCTACGTGGAGGATACTTAATGTTCCCGGGCGACCTCCGCGGTTTGCGTGGGGCCACAGTACCTGTGTCGTTGGAGGTACAAAAGCGATAGTGCTTGGAGGACAAACTGGAGAAGAGTGGATGCTCACTGAAGTACATGAGCTCTCTCTGGCTAGTAGTAACTCTGTTTGAAGTCTATATAAAGGTCTTTCAACCAAGCTTCCATGAAAACAAATGAGACCTTTCAAGTGGCGTTAAGCTTGATTGTCTTCACCACCGGGCGGGGGCACTGAATGTTTGGCGCCATGAATGGATGTATTTGCTCGGAAGTGAGATATGGTTGGGTCTCAAGTAAAGATTAAACCTCTTAAACCGGGGTTGCTCGCTTTATGTAGCTAATGGGTAGTGATATGTTTTTTTCTCTCTTGTTGCTGTTTGTTTGGTCTTTTACCAGATAAGTATAATTCATAAGCTACTCTCATGGAATGAGTATCAGTTTTATGTATTCTCAGACTATTCTGACATCCATTCTGTTAGGATAAAAAAGGACTACTCTGTACAGATGAGCCCTCTCTTGTATTCTGTGAAACTGTGATAGTTATGAGATGTATGGATGGTCTTGGATCAATCCTCTTTTTTTGTTAGACATGTAATAACAGGCTGTAGCAAGTTTTCCTCTCAGGTAAGCTTATTAGTTGTGTGTGTTTTAACTTTTTTCTATTTTCCTCTTGTTTATAGACAAATAATGTACAGTTCTTCTCTAGCACTGATAAACATTGTGACAGGGAAATAGCTGTCGACTCGTTTAGTTGCAGAGAGGGAGATCCTAGCCTGCACAACATTCTAAATTACAATTCCATTACAGGAGAAACCACCTTGGTACAATTCCATTACTGACTAAATTACATTACAAAACATATCATCATCTTGTACCCTACGCAGAAGTGATGACGTAGAATGGTGGTACAGCATGCATCCTACGCAGTAGAGGCAGCGACGTCGGCGGTGTCAGTGAACCACGGGCACTGGAGCGCCACGGCCGCCGGCAGACGCTCGCTGGGGTCGCATGTGAGGAGCCCGTCTAAAACCTCGAATCCGTCGCGCGACAGGCGCTCCTCCGGGAACAGCGCGCGTAGCACGCTGTCGCCTCGGCGTGTCGGCGGCATCTGCCCCGCGGCGGCGAGCGGGAGCGGCGTGCGCGTGAATCCTACACACGCGCCGCCGAGCACGCGGAAGATTCGGAAGAGCTGGTCGACCACGTTTTGTCCCGGGAACAGCGGTTCGCCGGCGAGCAGCTCGGCCATGACGCAGCCGAGCGACCAGGCGTCCACGAGCTCGTCGTAGTCCGGCCTCCCCAGGAGCATCTCGGGAGCCATGTACCAGCGCGTGCCGGCCCGGCCGCGCGGCGGCGGCGCGCTGGCCATGGACACGGCCAGCCCGAGGTCGCATATCTTCACCGCGCCCTCGCCGCCGACGAGGACGTTCCCGGGCTTGATGTCCCGGTGGACGATGCCGCGCTCGTGCATCCTCCCGGCGCCGCTCAGGAGCTGCCGCATGACGCGGCGCGTCTCCTCCTCCGTGAACGGCCGGCGGCGAGCGCGCAGGACGTGGGCGAGGCTCGGGCCGACGTGCTCCAGGACGAGGCCGCGATGCCGTGCAAGCCGACGACCGAGGGGTGGCCGCGGCACGCCGCGAGGTAGCACGCCTCGCGCAGCAGGCCGCGGTGGAGCGCGTGTGCACGGTGGTGCCTCCTCTTGCCGCCGTCGGGTGAGCGGACCAGGAACTTGAGGGCGACGTCGTCTCCGGTGGCGCGGTGGCGCGCCTTGACGACGACGCCGAAGCCGCCCGCCCCGAGCACGCGCGTCAGCTGGTAGTCCTCGGTGCTCCCGATGCGCCGTCTCTTGCGGGAGCCCGCGGCGTGGTCGTCGATCATGGCGCCAATGGCGGCTTCCGCTGCGGCAGCTCGCGACATGATGGCCATGGATGTGGGTGCTACTTGCTGGTGCGTGTTGGAATATCTGTAGTTATTGTGTACAGGAGGTGCGGCACATGCAAACCGATTGCCGTTCGAAGATGTTTCCGTGGCGCGCGCGCAACTCTCAACGCGCTTCCGACTGCTGCTCTGATCGACGAATGGCACTCGGTTTGCTCACCGCCTCATCGGAAGATCTATATAAACTTGATCTTCGATGACCTCGTTGTACGCGATCGCTTTCTTCCTCCCCCTCCACTTCTCCATCCAAAGATCGATCACAGCTCGCCAGAAACCCGCTTCCATGGCCGCGCAGACGAGCGCGCTCCGCCGGTGGAAGCGCTTCTTCGGCGTCTTCGACTCCGTCGACGCGGCCATCGAGGCCGCCGCCCCTGACATGTGCCGCGACGAGCTCCGGCGCGCCAGGGGCAACATCTTTGAAGGGCTCTGCAACACCGCGGACGACGGCAAGGCGGAGAAGCTCTGCGGGGTTCTTGACGGCTTGATGGCAGAGTCCCTAGAGACGCTGCGGTTGACTCCGGTGACGCCCAAGGTGCTCGCCACCACGGACCTCGCCAAGGCCGTCCGTGCGCTGCGGAAGCACGAGTCCGAGCGGGTCCGCCTCCTCGCCAGGGGCATCGTGAGCGGGTGGAGGGCGTCCGCCCTGGAAAACTTCGCCGGAGAGCCGGACAACTTCAACGCGCCTCAGCCGAAGGAGACCGTGGAGCAGCAGCATGTCGGCGCAACGACGACGGAGCCGCCTTCCTCCAAGGAGATCGTCGGTCACGACCAGCAGCATGCCTCGGCCGATCTTGACTCGAAGAAGAAGAAGGCGGTGGAGATCAGCAGCAAGGCGTCCGATCTCGTCGGTGGCATCAACATGGCGAAGCCTGAGGAGGTCACCGTCTGTCAGCGTGTCAATGTCTCGGCCGATCCAGACGCGAAGGCAATGGAGGCCGCGAAGCGCAAACTCCATGAGAGGTACCAGCAAGCATCGGATGCCAAGCGGCAGCGCCGGGTACAACTCGTGGAGGCGCCGGAGATGCTGAAGCAGAGGCGGGAGAGAAGCCTGGCGGGTTGCGCCACCTCAATGCTCAGGAAAACGTTCTCCGTTGGTCGCCATCACGCAGCTTCACAGGGTTTAGCAGGCTAGGCACTACTACTAGGCAGAGTTGAACTGGTGATCTGTGTCATCTTGCTCATCTTGTAGGAGTTACATATTAACAGAAGAAACCATTTCTCTTCTGTAACTGCATACTACTCGCTGATCATGAATGCAGATTTCATTGGTTTTCTTACTATTCTTCATTTCTAACTTTGATTTTTTCCTGGCTTTCATAGTTTTTCTTTTCGTTTTTTCAATTTTTACTCGGTTTTATTGTTTTGCACTGTTTTCTTCGGTTTTTCATTCTTTTGTTCTTGTTTTCTTTGCTTTTCTACTTGCTTTTCTTCATTTTTCTTTGTTTTTATCGGTTTTCACTATTTTTATCATTCTTTTTTGCACTCGTTTCTTCTGTTTATTTTTTGTTTTCTTTAGTTTCTTTTTGGGTTTTAATTTTCTTCTTTGTTTGTTTTGGTTTTGATTCTATATTTTTCGTATACGTCAAGAATTGTTTTCAAATACAAGTTGAACATTTTTTTAATATACAGTCAAAAATTTCTCCGTACATATTTCTTAGTATTTTGAAATGCTTTATTAACGTTTTACAAATACAAGATTAACATTTTTATATTACATGGTCAATATTTTTTCCATACACATTTTAAAATATATCAAATGCTTGATTATCATTTTCCAAATACAGGATTAGCATTTTGTTAATACACTGCCAACATTTTGTCTATACACATTTAACATTTTTTAAATTCTTGATTAGAATTTTTTAAATGCAATATTAACAATTTTTTAACACATGGTCAACATTTTTTCTATATACATTTAACATTTTCCCAATGGTTGATTAACATTTACTTGCTTATCAATATTTTCCAATGCTTCATTACACTTTTTGCAATACAATATTAATTCTTTTAATACACGGTCTTCATTTTTATACACATTTAAGGTTTTTCCAAATGCTTGATTTTTTTCTCAAATGCAGGATTAACATTTTTAAATAAATGGTCAATATTTTTATATATACCTTAAACATTTTTCAAAATGTTTGATTAACATTTTATATACAACTTCAACATGTTTTGAATACAATACAAGATTAACTTTTTTTAATAAATGGTCAACATTTTCTCTTTGCACATTTAGCATTTTTCAAACGTGTGTGTAACTTTTTCCAAATGTTTGATTGGTTTTTCTTAAATACACAATCAACTTTTTTAAACATATATATATATATATATATATATATATATATATATATATTCATTTTTAATACATGAGAAACATTTTTTCTATACCCATTTAACATATTTCATATGCTTGTTTAACATATTTCCAAATGTTCAATTAATTTTTTTTAATACACGATCAACTTATTCATACACATTGCATATATTTTAATATATTTTTATTATACATAAAGAAATGTTTTTTATGCACATTTAACTTTTTCAAATGCTTGATTGACATTTTTTAAATGTTTTTATGTAAAGTGCTTTTTGTAATTTATATATTTAGAATTTTCTAGAAATCTTAATAAATAAACGGAAGAAAGCACCAATATGCACACTGCAAGATTCGATCATGCGCTACATTAATCGAGACTGCCGTGTGTTTTATTTAAGACATCAAGCAGTGTGCTTTATATAAACTCTGGAAATCTAAATAAATAAACGGAAGAAAGCACCAATAGCCACCCCAATTGAAGCTGCTGAAGTGGATAAGCTCATGGCAGCAGGAGCCCCTGGCTATGTCCTGCATCTCATAAGAGATACCACACTGAAAAAACCTAACAACAACATAATTCCTCCACCTGTGGTAGAGGTTATACAACAGTTTCCTGAAGTTTTTCAAGAGCCAAAGGGTCTTCCTCCCAAGAGATCACATGACCATAAGATCGCATTGATGGAACAGGCAAAACCACCTAATTCTAGGCCTTACAGAGTGCCTCATATGCAAAGAAATGAGTTAGAGAGGCAAATTGATGGTATGCTCAGAGATAAGATTATAAGAGCCAGTGAAAGTCCCTACTCCTCCCCAGCAATACTAGTCATGAAAAAAGATGGCACTTGGAGAATGTGCATTGACTATAGAAAGTTGAGT